TACGCGCGCGTACTGTCGTAGTAAACAATTGCACGCTAAGGTTAAAGGGTAAAGAACTCGGCGACGGGTGCTGTTTGTGTGTACACACACACTTTTTCCCGTTTTCGCTTACGGCGGCCTGCGACGTGCGTATCGCGCGCGCGCTCGCACTATGGCGCATCCGACCGCTCGTCCACAACACACAACCGCCGCCGCCGCCGCCGCCGCCGCCGCCGCCGCCGTCGTTGCGTTTTCAAGTTCACTCGGACAGCCGTGCTCGAACGCCGGCGCGACCGTGCGGATCGCACGTGGTACCGCCGCCGCCGCGGTCGCCGTCGTCGCTGGGCGGACACACCACGTGGGTGCGGCGCGCGTATAGTCCCCGCTTGTGCGTGTGAATAAAGTATTGATTTTATGCGTGTCGGCGGCCGATCCCCGCGCACTCCCGTCGGCCGACACCGACCGCCCAAGCGGCGTGCGTGTGATTCATCGCGGCCCGCCGCCGCCGCTTCTCGCGTCCCCTTCGCGACACTCCGCCGATGCGTTCTCTCGCGCATCACGTCGACGACGACGCCTCCGCCGCCGCGCGATCAATTTTTTTTTTTCGCCGTCGCCGTCTCCAGGCGATAAAAATCAACGGGCAGACGACCCTCCTCCATCGGCGCGTATTTACAAAGCGCTCGCGAAGTATTATTATCACGCTTAATGTTATACGAGTAAACGTATACCTGTGTACAAGCCGGGGCGATCTGCTGCTGCGGCGACGAAAGGTCGTCGTGCAACGTGCAATACATTTTGAATTCGAGAGGTTCGAAAACGATTTTTGGGTCAATCGATTTTTAAAAAAATATTATTTCCATGTGCGATACCGTTCGATCGCCGTGTACACACTACCGCCCGCACTGAAAAATCAAATCAAACCATTGATGTTAGCGCGTATACGCGCTGTCTGCCGCCGACCGCCAAGTCCAGCGAACTCTAAACGACCCCGTGCTATTATCACGCGTGATTCTATTTTACCACTGTTTTTTCCTGTACGTCTTTTGTACGTCCCCGCAGTACGATAATGTTTGTAATATTATTTTATAGTTCGTGTCTCGGAATTAGGAATCGTTTTTTTTGCATTTCCGTATTTATTGCGCGTACCAGAGTTGCACACAATAATGTGACGCGTGTTTTGGAAAGCATTTTATGATGCAAGCGGTTTCTCGACGTTCGTGATTCCTGCGCAGTACTGTTAACGTTTCTTTCGTGATATTTTTAATTTTGCGCGTCTGACGTTGTCGTTTTCTTCACAAGGCAATCGTTAAATAAAATAATATTACGTACAGCGCGCGCAGCAAAACATAATAATATTAAACTAATAATGTACCGCATCATGTGCTTTGCAACAATAATTGAGCTCTAATTTACGGACCCGCTTAATTCGTTTAAAAAACATTTTTTTCCATCCCATATAATATTATTGTTAATTATTATACTATGTTGATCTAAATGTGAGCATCGTAATAATGATATTGTCGTGACGAAAATAATAATAATTTAATACATTTAACGAAAGAACAACGTGTCTCGTGGATTCTCGAGACTGTATTATATTAGGTATTTTATTTATTCATAGTTTGGGAGACCTTCATCGTTGCAAGTTTGCGCCAAAACGATAAACAAAATATTATGCACGAATTTATCGTGATTGTTTTTCCGTCTGTGACATCCGAGAAAATAGGATTTTCCATTAGAACTCGTAATCGTAATATATTATTGTTATTATGTTATTATTATTTGGATATTGTGCTCACAATAGTGTTTTCGAGAACGCGTGACGACGTAAATGAATTCTTCGAGTCGTCAGCCGTGCGAATCGACCGCCTCCCGCGCGCATAGTTTCCATACACAACATTTTCGCCGTAAACCGTTTCGGCGGCACCAGATTCGCGATATATTTTTTTTTTCGTACACAAGCGCACAGCTAAGGGTTTATAATCAACACATACACACACACACACACACATATATATAAACATTCAAGTCGTCGGGTGTCTACGTTCTGCGCGCGCGCTACCCCCCTCTCCCCCGGGTTCTTCTGGCGGTGTATTACCGATTGCGCTGGTCTACGCACCGCGTTCATGGCGCGAGGGTAGGATGAGTCACGACGACTCCTATGTACGTAAATATATTTAATAATATATTATGTACTCGGAAACAATGCCGCAATTATAGTGAATAGATATGTGTAGGTCCAACGCAATTATTTAGGAGATCAACATCGGGCGAGACGATGGGTATACAAAGTAAATTTATGTAAATTATTAAATTCAATCGTTAACTTATAGTCAAATGATAATAAATAATAACTGATGAATAATCATATAGTTTTGTAATATGTATCGGTTTGTGAGTCGATAAATAATTATAAAGTTAATAATATAACTGTAGTGTGTTAAAATTTATCTATAATAATATGATACATAGTAAGTCTAGGAGTCAGTAAATAACTACTGTGGGGAAACTTTGACGTCGAATAAATCGGATAATCGCGATTTATATATGTGGTTGAATGCGTGCGAATACGTATTAATATAACCTGCTAAAAGTCTCCGGTTTGAATGAAACAGTGTAGTTTTGATGGGGTTATAACAATATTATACCTATATATTTACACACACACACATACATTTAGGCTATATTATATAATACAGACGGTATCGTAGACGGTGAGATGACGTCATGTATATGTTTTATTACTTAGGTCGTGCCTAGAGTACGTATATACACAGAAAGGGGTTTATTCGAAGAAAATCGACTGCAATAGTGCAATTTGTGTGCGAATAACAAACCATTATTTGTGTCCTTCACCACTCATACTACGACTGCTGCTGCTACTACAACTACTACACAGTATAAATAATACTTTTACTATACTACTATATATTATTACTATTTACTTCCATACTATACTTCAGCTAGGATAAGTTAGCCTGTTCAGTCAAGTCATATATTAATGCGTACGCGCGTTAGTCGTGAATGTATACGGTATATAGTATAATAATTATATTATCGCGCGGCAGATGGGTGCCAGATGTCAATATATACACTGCACATATTATAACTCACACATACATACATTACACACGATATGCGTAAACCCATACTTATACCTATATGTGAGTGTGTGTAATAAATATACATAAAACATGTATAATATATACCATGTATATAATGTGTGTATGTATTATAGTCGTGTATACGAGTACCTATTTATATATACATATACATGCGTATGCGATCTAGACTGACATATGCGACGGCGACGACGGTAGACGCGCGATGACCTTACCGTAACGCAATATAACATGGTATATAGACTCCGTCTGCTGCGTGTACAGCCGCACAGGACACGTGAAAAACAGTCCAAAATTAGATTATTGTACGCGCTCTTGCAGTAGGTATGCGTGTGTGCGATAGTTGCACTTTTGCGCACCCCAACGACGCTCTACGACCGCTGGGTACCTATAGAGTACATAGTATATGCACACTATATACGCGTGCGGGATTAACTCCATCACTTACCCATATTAATATATGTGTATATATGATTATATATGATAGGTACGTGTTTTACACTTAAAATTATGAGCAGTAAATATATTATGTGCACGCGTTTAGGATATTTGTTTGTCATCACTCATTAGGCACAGATAATGATGTAATGTTGATTTAACGCACAAAAGCTGCACAATAATAATATTGTTTATTATGTTTATTTTATATACATTAAACATAGGTATTATACAAAATAGACAATACATTAGGTACACATATTAGGAGAACATATTTTGATATTTTCAGTTATCACGTATGATATTACTGTTGTAATAAGTAATAAAATTAAACGACGACTACGACGAAACACATATTATTAGTATGCATCCTGGTGGTCGTGTCGGAAATCCATCTATGATGATAACGATAATATAGTCTGAGGATATAATGTATAAAGGCATTATGATAATATTGTATACCTATAATTGTTGATGATTATTGAAAATTGATGCATAATTAAAAAAAAAATAATATTTTCCAATTTCTCAATATAGTAAATATGAAAAAGTTGCAATGATTCATTTATTATAAGCAGAGCTTGCATATGAAAAAAAAAATTGTTATACGTTATTTACAATTAAAACGTTATACAAATGTTGCGTTTATCGTTATTCAGAATTAAAATGTTTATTATATTTTATAATTTATTAAATAAATTATTGGAATTAATTTTTTTTTTTTTAATGATATACTATATGTATATAACGTTTTGTGTTATGTTTCGTTGGATGATATTATATCATATATTTTGTTAATTGTTATGTTTTATTTTGTGTTATTTAATTATTTATGTTTATCGTTTTCCGTTATAATTACGTTTACAGATTTCAATCGTTTTTTGTCAAATATAACGTTATAATCATGTCGTTATTATAACGTTTGCAAGCCTTGATTATAAGTGATTTCAATTGTTATAATAATAATAATAAGTACCTGATAATTCGTGATATATAGGTATAGTTTTTGTTGAGATGTATTATTATAATTTATTATATTAGGATACTTATGTCGGCTATGACCGACTCCATGTTAATCGCGACGTGCATTAGATTTAATAATTGATCCGCTGGTTGTCAAAGTTTAAACCTTCCCTCTGATGGGCTTGATAAACGAAATACTTATAATTGTTTTTGATTTAAATCGATTATAAATTAATTGAAAAAATCATTTCTCTATTCTCAGTTGTGATAGTATTATAATATTAGCGATAGATTTATGTCAAACGTAGTATGTATTATTATGATTTAAAAATTATGAGCAAATATTTTAAAATATTGATATCAACCGATTTAATGAGTGATTACCTTAAACTATACCGATTCTGTGTATTGCTATCATTTATGTTTTATTCTGTTTTATTTTTACAATTAATTTTTGTTTTCGTTTACTTAAATTCATAAACTATATTGTTTCAGCACCTCCTATACCTGACCAATGAATCCTATCCTCGAGGGGAAAATCGAAGAGGGCGTGGAAAAGGAAGTCGAGCGGTATGTTTATTTTATTTTGTTTTTATTTTATATTTATAATTTATGGCGCTTTGGGTTTTTTAATAGTTAATCTTTACTTTCGTTTTGTATATTTTGAACACTGATTTTTCGTTCACGGTTTAAGCTAAATAAAATGAAAATATTTCGATTTTTTTTTCAAACACTAAATAATAATTAAAAACTAAAAATACCGCGTAATATTTTTTATTGTTGGTCGTGGTATATAGTGGCTCACTGGCATCTAGTGCACCAAGCAATAACTACAACAGGGACGGTATGTAATATAAAACAAGAGAATCGAAAACAATAATGAAATTACAATGTAATATTGTTGGGTTATAAAAGCATAATCAAGTATTATTATAATAGTTGTCGTTGTTAGGAATCAGCTTTGACATAACTCCTATTGTCTACAATATCTACATGTATAGTTATTCCGATCGATTTTCGAGTTAAAGGCCCAGTGGTCAGCGCACAATATACATGAATACGTATGAGTACATTATGATTAATTTCGTATGTTGTAGTTATGTTTAACTAGTACTATTGACCTAATTGTTTGGTGAATATGCGTATTTTCTTATGTAACTGATACGGTCATTGATGGAAAACAAAGTGGTCCATCCTGTAAATATTATTATACTGTTCAGTGTTCACCTGGTTTCTGTGTAAATTCCGTCGTGTAGCAGATAAAATAATTTAGGTTTCAATACCTGTATAGAATTCATGTGTTAAAAGGGGCTAAAATGAAATAAGCGAGGTGATCGAAATGTCGTTGTATGATGTACACATAAAAATGTATATTATATACCATTTAAATGATAAAAACTTCATTCAATCTTGATTTTTATAGCTCTACATTTTAATAAATACATACTGTAATATTGCTTATATTGTGGAGAATAATGTTCTTTAGAAATACATTAAATGTGTTTATGGATGGATAAAATAAAAATGTACGGACTGATTCTTTTTTGAAACTATTATAGGTCATTCGCACCGTATCGTCAAAGCCGTTTTGACGTAAACGGGTAAACGAACTCCGCGATTTAGATGTTATATCTAGGTCGGGGGCATTTAGGGTTAAGGTCTTTCCGCTGACGGGTGGGTTTGTATACAAAGGTCCACAGAATTTTCGGAGGGGGCCATCACTCGTCTGCGTACGTAACATAAACGAGGTTATTAGGCAAAATCCTTCTCTGTCACCACTGACTGCGTGTGAGGGGGTTAAAAGGGCACTTTGTAGTTGTCGTTGTGGTTGTCGCCTCCGTTTCAGCTTGCACCACCACCAAATCTACGTCTGCATCGCTACTATGCATCCACCGCTATTGCCGCCGGTGTTCTCAATGGAAACAGAAAAACCCGCCCCTCATGGGTTGTCACCTCCGTGGGGTAGGACAGTTTATGGCTCTTTCAAAAAAGGGGTGGCTGCGGTGTCGTCGTCGTCACCGCTAGTGGTTTAGAAAAGCTCACCGACCCGTTGCGATACAAAAACAGTCTTTTGCGATTGTCAACCACTGTATCACCTTTAAAAGTCCCCCTATCTGTCTATTAACGTGTATATATAATACATAATATTGTGTTTAAATTATTATGTACCGTACGTACAGCACGTATTATATATACGGGTGACCAGCGGACATAAAGCACAGCAAACACTGATGATGGTTAGCATGGTTACCATAGTACTAAGCTTCTACCGATAGTGTTAAATTTATTCTTTGACGCCGTGAAACTGTCGGAGGGTTGGTCGCGGTTGGCCGACGAAGACTCATCGCGTCGCAACGAATCGATCGGTCTACGATTGTATATACAGTCTGCAGCAGACGACAACGTCTGAAGCGTGCGGCTTTCGCACGCGTTATTTATTATTTCGTAATATCCTGGCCACCCCTACGTTGATTAGAAGCGGGGGTGGTCGGCGGAAGGTGAGGTGCGAGAACCGTACATATTCATCCCGACCGCTGGTTTCACCCTCTTATTTGTAGTAATTGTCCCGGAACACACGTTTTGCCTCGCGGTAATTACGCTAGCACACGCGAAACTCCATTACGTTGGACGATCGTCCGCCGAGGATGGACTCGGTGGGTAGGTCGAAGCCCCTCAGCCGAAAAAACTAATCATTCGTTTTGTGTACACGACAACGTAATTGAATAATCCGGTGGCGTACGTGAAATAGGTGTGACGTTAGGGTTTGTATCATATTTTTCTCTACGATAAAATACGCTTTAGCGATCTCCCTCCCGTCCCTACAGATGAAATAAATTAATAATTTAATTACTGATTCGTAAGCTCGCTGTCAACCAGCGCAAGTCCATCGATTGATTCGAAAAATCCGATTGGTAACACTGCCGGGACCGGGGGCCATCGATCGATTTTTCGACCGAAAGTTTTTTTGCGAACGCCGTGTTTTTGTTTAATAGGCAACTTATTATACTTTTCGGTACGCCGTCTTGTATTTGCGCATCACTCGCGGTGCCGGGAGAATCAAACCGGGTCGCGCGTCGGAAATATTCTAAATAAAATAATACTTCGATTATTGCACAATGTTTATATTATTCAAATATTTTATTTCAATAATTTTTAATTGGAAATTTTGTTTCATTTGTCTCCAAATTTTCTGCACGACTTACTGTTTAGTGTAAGTGGCCCGACGTAATTTAACGTCTTAATTTTTATGGTGGCAATTATGTACGTGACGACATATAATGGCCGAAATGAATTGAACGTTCAGATATTTCATGATGTTTTTTTTATGATAAATAGAATGCTTTTTAATTATAGTTAACTACTAAAACTGCAAATATTTTTATTGACTCGTAAAAATTTGTGTCGTTTTTACTTTTCGTTGTGTTTTTAAATTTATTTATGCAGCAAACTTTATGCGCATCCACGTCCAAACTTGTTCTAATTTGAACAATTAATTTCGTTTTTTATGTAAGACATATAATATCATAATAAACTAACCTTAGTCCATACTGGACGTCGAGTAAAAATTAACGATAGTCGGTATCCGAAATTAAATTGACACGTGTTCGATTAATTCAAATGATCGAATGTAACGACTGAAGAATGAATAATGAATCGATTAGAGGGGTACCACATAATATAATATTATTGTTATGATATTTTTTTTTAACCACTGTGCTCTGGGAGTCAAATTCCATAGGTTTTGTATTAAATGGACTTCCTGGTATCGGAAAACTGGTACATCCGGTAATTTAACCCTTTCAGTCCCCTTGTCCATTGCAATGGACATGTATTTCAATTAATTATCATAAATGCTATGTAATATGTAGGGATGTGAAACTTGAACTATATTTCTTAGAATATTCTTAAGTTTATATTAAGTTACTTTTTATAATAATAACATGTATTAAAATATCATTTTTAAACGATTTATTAAAAATAATATTCAATTATACATGGTCATTGATAATACACCTATGTAATCAATTTCGGATTTTTTTTTTATTTATCTGTGGGATCTGGTAGCACTGGATAAATTGTAAAACGATTAATAAACGTCTTGACTATGGTTTAAAATTATTTGATAAGAAGTTATATGTACGATAATAAGGAAAAACAGCTGAGTTTTCATTGTCCATTGTAATGGACATTATGACCAAAGTGTCGTGTTATTATCACGCACGTGCATCGTTCGGGTTTATTATCAAATTAGATTTACCGGCTATTTTTAGATGTATTTATATTTTTCATAACAAAAGAAATTACATTTTAAGTGAGGCTTATTCTGAAATTTTAAGTATTATTTTTTTTGGAAAAAATTTAAAATGAATAAAATACTAAACGATTTTGATATTGTTGAAATGCTAAATGGTTATGACTCGGAATTGGATGCTTTAGATAGTGATGATGAAAATGGAAATAAGCTCGATGCTCAAGTTGAAAAAGGTAATAAAATTGTAATTAGTGAAAAATTAAAATAAATACATTTGTTTAATAATTAATTTATACACATAGATACATTTCCAATTGAAGAATTCGAAAATTTAATGGAAGAATTTAATGCTGAACATTTAGAAGAAGTAGAGTTGGATCAGTTTGAAGAAAATGTCAACAATATTGAACAAGTAAATGAAAATGACTTAAGTACACCTCACAGTCCAATTGATAATTTAAAATTAACAGAGAAAAAAGATATAAAATGGCAAAGGAGTCCTTTCCCTAATTTAAATTTAAATTTGCAACCAATTGATGATATACAACCTGAAGTTATTGGGTCTGATATGATTGACCCTCCAATAAAATATTTTTCAAAATATTATAGTGATGTAGATTTTCAATTAATGGTTCAATATACTAACATGTATGCATTACAAAAAAGGAAAAACTTGGAAAAATACAGATATAAAAGAAATAAAAATATTTATAGGTCTCCATATCATAATGGGCTGTACAAATTTTCCAAGAATCAGAATGTTTCATAATAAGTAAATGTATTCAACTATTTTTTTTTTTTTTTTATATATATAATAAATAGATAATTTATAATATATTATATTATATTTATATTTTTTAGTTACTTTTGATTTTAAAAATTTGTTTTTGTTTTTATAAATGGAATATACCATAAGAAAAATAATTATGTTTTAAATATATTGTTCAGTTATACTTAATTTTAGAAAATTGTTCAAGTTTTGTTTTATTTTTATAAAGGATATTATACAAAAATTATTTTATTATTAATTTATGAATGCTATTGTTATAATGAAAAAATTGTTATTATATTTTATACTTTATATGTCTATTTGAATTGTTTAATTACATTTTATTAAGTACCAAACTTAAAAATTTTATTCTCATGTCATTTTTTCCTCCGAGTCATAATGTCCATTGTAATGGACAACCCTCCCATTTTGGCAAAAATGGGTAAAAGTACCCCCAACTTTTTTTATTGGATTTACAATGTTCTAAAAATAAGGTTTCTTGATTTGAATATTTTTTTTTTTACCTATTTCATAATTTGGGACTGAAAG